CTTCTTTGATCTGAGGCATCAAGTCAGGACTCATACTTCTTGGAGATTGCTTACAAGGCTTGAAATCCTTCTTAATGGGCAATCGATGTTCTATCAGACTTCGCTCTAGACCAGGCATTTCTGAATAATCCCAAGCTAAACAATCAATATTGTTTCTTATAACCTCGAGCATCAATTTTTGTTGCCCTTCAGATAAATAACCACTCATCCTGATTATTTTTGGAACCATGTCGGTTCCTAAGTTGAAATCCAATAAAGGATCTTGTGCTGAAAAAGCTGGCTCTGTTTTTTCTAACAAATCAGGCCAACAAAATTGTTCATCTTCTTGGAAATGAACATCACATCTTTTTATTTTTTCTACTTTTTTCAAAAGTTGGTCTAAATAATATTGATTAATAAGTAAACTACAATCTTGTAAATCTGCGCCTTCCATAAGAAATATATTATAAAAATAGGTATGGCTTACTCAAGAGCCATATAATACAACTGTTCTTTCAAAAGAACATTGAATTCTGGCCAATGAATTTAAAACCCTTCTTTGGGTAGTCATTAGCCATAAAAAACTGATACATTACAGGTACATGACCAGAATAAAAAACTGATTCTTCAACTTGTTCTGATGCTCCAAAAGGATTGTCATTCGCTTCCATTTTGAAGACCTGATTGCCTTCCCAGAACATCAATCGTTGATGCAGTGTTGATGGTACACATTTAGATGCATGAATCCAATCTCGTCCCAGCAGGATTGAATATGTGGTATCTGCATCCACCACGAAGAAAACAAAAGAAATCTTTTTTGGACCGACTTCAATTAAGGCAACCATCATGCCTTCTGGTTTGGTCGGCTGCCCTGTAAAGCTAGCCATCTCAAAATCCACAGGAGATAGATCGTGAATTCCCTTTCCTAACTTCTTGAGAGTCTTTAATTGGCATTACATTGAAGACGGTCCCATTATCTATGAAAACCTTTGTGATTGGTTTCCCACAAATATGAGCATTAACATACAGAGGCTTCAAATAAGACGCCATGCCTTCTGGAATTGGAGGGAAGACTATTGAAGGGACCTCTGATTGAAAATCAGGATCCGAAATCTTTGCCCATTCTGGCTCTTTTATAAACTCATCCACCAGACTTGCCACAAAGGCTCTTCCTCGACCCTAGTCGAGACTTAACAGACCTTGAAACATTCTCTGGAATTTCGTCTCTGACTTCAATTTCGGGTTGAACAGTCAGAGATTCCAAACGAAATTCCTCCAGAGATGGGTTAATGTTAATCTTCTCGCAATACTGACATCTGAAACCCTCAACTCTTTCATCAGACAAGCCTTTACCCTTTTTTTGCATGGACCGACCTCCTTCATTATAATTAGCAGTGTTTCGTATGTTGGTCGGCTGCTTTGACGAGGCAACCCCGATGAGCCGACCTTCCTCTGTCTTGTTCGGCTGCTCAAACGAAACGACCTTGATGGACCGACCTCTTTCAGTATACTTAGCAGCGCCTCGACTGTCGTTTGGTTGCTTTGATGAGGCGACCTTGTCTCTGTATCTCACAGTATACCTACGCTTGGCATTCCGAATCTGAGTATGATTTATGCTTGGGAAGCGAGGATCCATATTAATTGGTAAAGATTTCTTATTTCGAGTCTATTTGTTCCCGACCGAACCCGTTCTCCTAGTCGGGTGGTCCCGAACCAAAACTTGGTCCTTCAATTCCACATTAAAATAACCATCTTTGGTTATCCCATTTTTCAGCCACTATTTTTTCACAGACCTTGAGTTTCTCCTCTGGTCGGCCACTGTTTGATGAATTCCCTTTTTCTGATCTGGAACTTACTTGTATATTAACCATTGTTGTGGTTACTTTTGGAAACGGCTGTTGCTCTACTCCCAAAGCAATATACTTGAGTCGACCTGCCTTAATAGCCTTTTGGATCTCATTTCGAAAATGAGTGCATTGACTTGTATTATGTGTGAAGGAGTTATGCCACTTACAGTATGGTCTCTCTTTGATTTCTTCCTTAGTAGCCAACCTCTGCCTCTTTGGAATTCGGATTTGACCATCAGTTAGCAGAATATCGAATATCTCATCGGCCTTTGAATTGTCAAAGGTCGGTTGCCCTTTAGCTTCAGTTCCTGGTGCTGGCTTTAACTTAGAGCATACAGAAGGCTTCCCTAAAATTATTTCGGCCGCCATCTCTTCTGTTTGATCATAATCAAAGTCATATGCCTCTGTTTCCATACTTGCCATATGCTGAACTTTATTGCGCCTGAAATTCTGATCTTTTTCCCTGAAAAGAGACTCTAAACGTCCAGTCTTGGATGCAAGACTTGCTAAATCATCGACATCATGCGCAGTGAGCGCATCTCTTAGGCGACCATGCATATTTTGGACTACTAAATTGGTCATCTCTTTTTCATTGATTATTGTAGGACATCGTCCTTTCATCAATCGCACCCTTTCAATAAACTGTGAAGCTAATTCTTCTGGATATTGTTTCATTTCCAATAAATCAGTCAAAGAAACCGTTGGCAAATGATTGAAAAATCTGGCATGAAATGCCATCTCTAAACCTTCCCAAGTTTGTATTTGCCCAGGTGGCAGACTTACAAACCATGAAAAAGCTGTCCTAGTTAGAGACAACCTAAACAGTTATAATTTGTAAAAAGGATTGTTACCAATTTCCCCTAACTGTGCTGTGAAACGCCCCACATGCTCTATAGTAGAGGATCCATCCTCTCCAGAAAAAGCATGAAAATCTGGTGGCCTGTAATTCCTTGGGAGATGATATTCATTAATAATCCTTTCTGGAAAAGGTCTTTGATAAGTAGGTCGGTTGGCCATCTGAGGATTTAGGCCAAACTGAACCCTCAATACGTGAGCAATTTCATCACCCAAACGAAAATATTGATGATCAGGAATATCAATGGGATTTTGCACAGGAATAAGAATAGGATCTTGCACATGTCCCCCTGGTCTTTCCTCCCTTGTAATGTTTGGTTGCACATTCTCAACACTTGGCCCCAAAGGAATATTATTTGGGAAAGTCAGAAGAGTCTTTCCCCTATCTGTTCGGTTGAAGGTTGTGGCGCTTGGAAGTGTGTTGTCCACATATGATGGCCCTGCAAAATTTGCTTGCATTCTTGATGGTGACACCCCTGGCGGCATCTGGGTGGGTTGAAGAGTGACCCTTGACAATGCTTTATCTAACATATTTTGCATAAGGTTTTGTTGCTCACGCAACATTTGTTGTTCACGCAACATGTTTTGCATAGCCAGATTATGCTGATTGTTCAATTGTTGAACATAAGACAACCAATCGGTAGGCGGTTGGAGAATCTCCCCTGGATTTGGCATGACGGGTGGTGAAACATTTTCTCCCGCCAGTGCTGATGATGATTGAGGTTGTGAGCCTGCCATACTGATTTTTCTGATGATTCGGCCAGACCTCAGTCGTATGAAATTCTCTGATAATGTAGGATCAGCAATCTTGCCTTTCTCCCACTGTGGTCGCCAAATTGTTGATGTATTTTTTTAACAAAAAAAAAAGTAAAATCCAAAAATAGGAATTTATCTTCAAACTTGATTAATTAATGCCTGAGATTAGGAATCTCTAAACACTGTACGGTACATAAGAAATTTAACTGGAAATTAAAATGCTGGAAATTTAAAGTGGTGATCCCCGAATCTAACTTTGCTTTTGTTGAAGTTGATTGAAGATACTCTGTCAGTTGCAAATTTTAATCCTTAAATACTCTTAAAAAATGGTACTGGAAACCATCGCTCAAACGGTTACAACGCCCCTTTTTCAACCGTCTGCTAACCCTTCTCCTGTTGACACGTGCCCTCGGCCGACCGAATTATCATTCTCACTCACTCTTAATAGTATCCGACTCTTTGGACCGACCGCAGCCCTTCCGCCTTTTTGGCCCGACCGCAGCCCCTCCGCCATGTTGGTCCGACCGCAAACCTTTCCGTCCTTTTTGGACCGACTGCCGTCCTTACGCCTTATTGGCCCGACTTGCAGACCACCCGACTTGTTTGGTCCAGCCGCAAACCTTCCGACTTACGGACCATCCGACTTGTTGGTCCAGCTACAAACCTTCCGACTTACAGACCATCCGACTTGTTGGTCCAACCGCCAACCTCCCGACTTACAGACCATCCGACTGACGGTCCTTCCGACCTATGGACCTTCCGACTGGCGGTCCTTCCGACCTGCGGACCTTCCGATCTGCGGACCTCTTAACCTGCGGACCTTCCGACCTGCTATTTCCTTAGAAATACGTCTACTTTACCTGAGTTCCCCGCAATGCCCCTCGACCAGCTCGATAACTTCAATCGTTAGGCTCATTTTTCTTTTATCTTGGACTTTTTAACCTAATTCTAAATTTCATACCTAACAGGTGTTTTAGTTGATTTAGTAAAATTGTTTGTTTGTAGTTAGAAATTTAGTTTTATATACATATACAGATAGATATTGGTAAATCATGAAATACAAAATTTGATGGTACTAGATTTGTATATTAGAGACGGAATTTGTGACGAAGGAATCCATCCGTCACAAAATAAAACTCGATGAACATAATATTCCATCGTTGAAATTAAAGAGGAGATTAGCAATAGTACAAGTCGGTCGGTAAATTGCAACGGCAAAAATTCTGGTTGGTAGTCGCAATTGAGCTAGTTCTATCTGTGAATCCATCGCGAATATCCGCAACGGAAAATTAGTTGTTTAAATTTCGCGACGGGATATTATTCAACAAAATCTATTCCACCATGATTCCACCGCTAATCTCCTTACGGACGAAAGAAAAGGGATTATTCCGTCGCTAATTCACAATTTTTTATTTTGTCCCATCTTTTATGTGCACAGCAATTTCCTTGCAAATCGGTATCGTAAGTTGATAATTTTTAGTATATAGATTCCTCAAAATATTTTTAAAAATAAAAATAAAAATAAAATGTAATCTAAATTTATTTTATTAAAAAATCAGAAAATTTAAATATATATATATATATAGAATTATATGGGTCTCAAACTCTCGTGCTTACATATATAAAAAATATATATAGATGTAGATAGACTATCATTTTGGGGAACTAATCTTGAAGTTGTTCCCCCACATTTATCTTTTTGTCATTTTTTTTATTTTTTTTGCCAACTTATATACATACATGCATACATGCATATACATATTTATATATGTACGTGTTTTTCTCTTCTTCGTCATCGTCATCGTCATGGTAGCCTTAAAGGTTGATGGAGCTAGCTAGATAGCGTGTAATATTATTTCTCTGTCTGGTTTGTGGGATAAATCTGAATGGGCAATCCTCCTCTAGGCACTGGAAATGGACAGTACTGTATCGACTCATCTTCTCCAACCACTCTCCATCTGACCACACCACCACACCAAATTAATTAAATATATAATCAACATTTATTCATACATAATTATAATACTATTTCTATCTTAAATTTAGTTTTTTTTTTTTTTTGTTATTTCTAATTTAGACTATATATATATATATAATTTATAAAATTATTCAGAAAAATATATTAAAAAGATACTAAATAAAATACGGTTCCGAAAGCAAAAGTAACACATAAATTGACAGAAATGTCGTATATATATTATTAAACAATAATTGGTATGTTCGACTTACTAAATCTTTGCTATTATTTCTAATTTAGACTGTTTTTGAATTTTTGCAACTTTCTTTGGTTTATACCTGATTTTTCTTGTTTAGCATTTATAAATACAATTTATAAAATTCTTTTTAAGCAAAAAACACAAAAACAAAATAGTAACAAATTATTAAAATTATACTAACAACAAATTCTACATAGCAAAACTATTAAACCAGAATGATTATTATTATTATTATTATTATTAATTCTTTTCCCAAGACTTGACCTGCGACAACATGCAACTACGAAGATATCCACCAATCGTCCATCTGATTAAATAATTCTGTTATAAATTTATGAGTGAATGTGAATCAAAGCAATTCAATCGGTGGATTCAGTCAGTCCCATTACGTGCCAGCCTCATAAATAATAAATCCTTATTTTATTTTTAAATATGAAATAAAAGATATAATAGCCTCATAAATAATCTCAATTGATCTAAAATTAAATAAAGTCAATCTTACGACCGCAATAATAAACAACGTAGCAGAATCCAAGGGTGCATCATGCCACGTGTGGCTGCTGCTAGCTGTCACTTTATCTATTATTATTATTTTTTTTTTTTTTTTTTTTTTTTTTTTTTTTCCGTTTCAAACCAAAAATTAAAAATCAAAACCACCACCACCAAAGAAGATTGAATTTTGAAATATTTTTCGAAATGTAAAAAATTGGATAAAAAAACAAATACTTAATTTAGTATTCTAAATTAAAAATTAAAAAAAAAAATGGATATTGAAAATGATATTTTTCGAATGTAAAAAATAGAAAGAATAATGATAGAAAGAGAGTAAGGAGGTTGAGCCATAATTATTGGACAAAAGTAGCTAGGTAGCTAGCTAGGACCACGACGCAGTTAAGAATGGTCCCGGTCCTACAGAACCCCGCTACTCAGATTCGGTTCCCATGTTGCCAGATTTTGAGGTGGCACGTGTATAAATCATCTACAAACACGACTCTCTCTCTCTCTCTCTCTCTCTCTCTCTCTCTCTCTAGTCTATTTAATTTTGACCTACGTACATGCACTGGCGGGATCCAGCAAATTAGCCTAAAATAAAATTAAAAAATATAAATATATGTATGTACCTGTAAGTGAGGGTGAGGTGGTGGAGGAGTATGAGCATCTCAAGAATAGCAAGTTCACTTCCAGGACAAGAATGCACTCCATTCCCGAAAGGCATGTACGTGTTGGCTCGTGGTGGCACCTGCATGTACACACGTGTGCACTCATTCTATAAGTATATGCTCCTTCGTCTTACTTACTATGTCCACATTCGTCCTACGTCTCATTTCATTTTTTTAAAAAATTATTATACACTTTAATCTTATTTTAAATTTTTTAACTTTAATTAAACTAATTAGTTATCTTAATTTTAATTTATAATTATTTATATTATATAATAATTATTTACTAATTATATTTATCATAAATTTCAACATCTATCCAACGTGGGACGGACGGAAGGGAAGGATCATATTTTAATCAGTTTGAACATAGAGAAACACGTATGGTAGCAAGCTAGCAAGCAAACAAATGTAGGTCACGTGATGTCATAAACTTGAAGATTTTGATCGTCAATCAGGCAGAGGGAATTGAATGGCCCAAGAATGGAGAAATCAATTAAGATTCATTCACAGAGATATGCGTGCATGCATGCATGTATGAGTGATGATGGATAGGGATCGCTGCATGCACCAAGTAAGAGGATATAGTTGAAACATTGACAGCCTTATATTTTATCTAAAAAACACAAACACAAACATAATACATTAATTTATTAAATTAATTTTTAAAAATTAAATAAACTCCAACTGCAGGCCTAATCAATGTCATTTTCCAACTCCCATCCACACAGACTACCAATTCGACGTGTAACTTGTATGGTTAATGCTTTCTGTTAACCACCAACTAACAACCTAACATGCAATCCTAACTATTTATCTTCAAGAATTGATCATTTATAAAATAAAATAAAAGATAGAAATTATATTTTATATTATATATATATATATATATACATATACATACCTCAAATCTTGTGGGGTCAAATTTTTCAGGGTGTGGGAAGAAATCAGAAGAGTGGTGAATGGTTCTGAATAGAGGAAGAACCTTCCAGCCCTTGGGGATTACATATCCTTGAAACTCCACATCTTCCACTGCCTCCCTGAACGTGAATGACAGAATGCTTGCACTTCTAAGTGTTTCTTGTATCACCTTATACACAACGTTCAAATTCAAAATCAAATTCAAATTCAAATTCAAATGCAAATTAAAATTCAAATTCAAATTAATCTAACTACCGTACCCTTGTGGTCAGGAGCATGGATCTTGTGTCCTCCCACGTAAGCCCTCGTCTGTGTTCTTCATGGAGTTTCTGTCGAATCGCCTCTTGCTCCCTCTGCAATCAAATAATTAAGATTAAATAGTATTATGTGTGTGTGTGTGTATATATATATGTATATATATGTTACCGAGACAGCTTCCAAGACATTGGGATTATCGTGGAGGTATTTGAGAACCCACGTCAGCACAGTGGCTGTCGTGTCGTGTGCTGCGAAGATCACTCCAATTATGTTATCAGCAATCTGGGAATCACTCAGCTCTGCTTTTTTGTTATTTTTATTATTATTATTAATATTATTATTATTTTGGGCTGTAAGCATAACTCCCAGAAGCCCTTCTCCAGCATCCCCTTTCTGTCGTCTCTTCTCAATCAGTTTCCTCAACGTCTCATTCAACGATTTCCTTGCCTGTACGATGATATATTGATTAGTTTAGTTTGTACAAATTAAACAAACCCATCAACAATATTTGTATAAATTGGGTACTTATAATCAAAAATCAGAGATGAAAAATGACCTTCATGGCTTTGTAGAAAGGAGTCCCCGGAAAGTCAATAGGCATCGAATTGTACCCCTTTTCAAGCGCGTGGTACAAGCATTTGATCCCTTCCGTTTCCGCCTCAGCCTCAGGCTTGTTTCCGAACACTGAAATAATCGCCACCTCAAATGCATACTGCACCACAATTAATTGATTAAACAAACTAATATTTGATTCTAGAATGAATCAATTAATTAACATATTAAAATGAAAGCACGTAGGTATATATGTAGGTAAAAATACCTGTTTCATCTCCTTTAAAGTGCATATAGGAGAGGTGCAGTGTTCCCATCTGGGAATTAAACTTCGGACAATGTTTTCGATTCCTGGGACAGATCCTTTAATGACACAAGGAATGAAGGAGGCCTGGACGAGTTTCTTGAGCCTGGAATGATAATCCCCCTGGTGAAAAAACAGTGCCTCAGGCCCGATCATCTTCTCCTTGCTGGGTGGGTACGTGGGCTTGAATAGATGAGCCTGGCTCACCAGGACAACCTTAGCACCCTCAGGGCTCGAAATCATCACACATGGACACCCCAATATATGACTCTTGAATATATTCCCGTACCTAACATACATACATATATATATATATATATAGTCATCAACATATTATCCTTGTCATTACGTTATTATTATTATTATTATTAATTACCTTTTCCTCCTTATCGAAAAGAACGTATTGGGGTGTTGATTATACAGCTTCAGAGTTTCTCCGATGTACGGCCACCCCATCGATCCCGGCGGCAGGCGTCTCTGGTAGGTTCCCCGGCGGCGCCTCCATTGCAGGAGGAACAGTACCAGAGCTCCCACCGCCACCACCACCGCCGCCGCCGTGAAAAGTAGAGCCAACGCCGCCATCACAGCACTAATTAGAAGAAGAAGCCCGAAACCGGGTGGCGGAGGAGGTGGCACGATCGACAGACGGAAAAGGTCAGGTCGCCGGCGGCAGTGCAGCTTAGTCCCTCCGGCCACCGCCGCTTGCAGCTATCATATATATATAGTAGTTCACAAGCATACTAGCCTAGACTAGGGTGGGTCCTACATTTTTAATTTATTTCGAAAATATTCTTTTAAACGAGGCCACGCAAACCATTGGAAAACAAGTACTATTATATTAAATATATTCATTTATTTATGTACAGTGTCCCATTCGGAGTACATGCCCTGAATTTAATGCGACCATCCAATGGAGACGAGCCACGTGGCGGACAGAAATATGTGGGTGTTATATGAGTAAGGAAGTCTATTCAAATCCTAGACAAATATCTAGGTGATGAGTCAGCATGTTATCATAGTATATTACTCATTTAAAACTAAATTAATGTTTGCCGCATACGGTATTTATAAGTTATTGAACCTGATTCAAGGAACCACTTAATTAAAGATCTACCGCGCCAGCCGGTGGTTATGAATTTTAGGCTGTCTTAATTCAATTATCTTTTAATAAAACAAACTACTCCCTCCGTCAATTAATTGTACTTAATCTCTACCCTACACTTTATCCCCTCACATCGTCCAAATAAAAAAATAAAATATATATTTCTCTCTCCATCACATCGCCTAATTTCTAAATTATCATACTTAATACTACCCACCTAAAAATTCGTGCCAAAAGTAAATGTTGCACCTTGTTTATAACGGAGGGAGTACCCTCTGTCCCGTGGAAGATTGAATTTTTTGTTAGGGACACGGTATTTTAGGTAATATAGGTTATTAAGTTATTAATAATAAGTTAAAGATAATATTTTATTATTTTTTATATGCGTAGTATTGTTGGTATTTTGAATATTTTTACAATTATATTTCAATAAAATATATGCAATATGAATATCATTACAATAAAATTTTATATAATACAAATGAATAAAAAAATTATTTATTTATTTATCATTATCATAAATTAATTTTATAAAAAATGAGAAGTTTTAAAGATAGATAAAAATATTTGTTAATTTAGGAGATACATAGAAATAAAAGGGTTTTGAGTGGGTCCTACGTGTAAGATGTTAGAAGTTTAATTAAATTGATTTATATTTGTTAAGTATATTTAAGATTGATAAACTTGTCCAAAATGGCAACGAGTCATCTTTTATGGTATATGTGGCGGGACGACGCAGGGAGTACTATTTATTTATAAAAATTAATAATTTAATACTTCCTCTGTAAAGTATAATTAGTAGGTAATTAAGAAGTGTATTAATAGAAATTATTATTATTTAGTAAAAATAATTATAGATTAAAATTAAGATAATAAATAGTTTAATTAAGATTAAAAAAATTTAAAATTTAAAATGTGATTCAAAGTGGATAATCATATTTCAAAAACAAAAAAATGACAAGTCATGTAGAACCGGCAAAAATAGAAAATAGGGACAAATTATATGGGACAGTGAGAGTAAAAACTATCATTTTTTATACTCCCTTCCCTCCGTCCCCTAACAAACTATCTATTTTTCCATTTTAGTCCGTTTTATAACAAAGTATTCATTTCTTTTTTAGTAATTATATTATCTACCTAATATTACAAATACCCTTACAACTTACAATATATTACACAAATGTCATTACCTTTATATCAAACAACACTAATAAGATTATTTTAGTCATTTCTACTTTATTCCTACTACATTTCAATATAATACTAATATTTTTAAAACTCCGTATAAAAAGCAAATAAATATTATAAAACGGAGGAAAGTATTAGCCATTATATTATTTATACTCAATATAAAAAACTAATTCATAAAAAAAAAATAAAAAAATACACACCTTTACTATTTACAATATTTTAATTTCTTTTTTACATTGAAATGCTTATTTTAAAAATATATATATTCGAATAGTCAGCTGGTCAAAACACCATTGAAGAAGCAATTTAAATAAAAAACTAGTGCGTAAGTATAAATAACGTGATTAGAGGTAGAGGTGGACACGGATGATATCTAAAAGAATAATTTGGATAAACCCTATATTTGACTTATTTTAGAATTTTAATAATAGAGGATGCTTGAAAATGAAGTATATATAAAACCATAAACAAAATTTAATTAAGAAATTTTTATAAGATTAAACATAAATTTTTTAATAATTAAGGCAACATAAATGAAATAAAAAATGTGTTTCTTATATACATATATATATTATATATTTTCCAAAAATTCCTAATATATATTTTATCATATTACAAATATCAATATTTAATATATAATATTATTTTTATATTACTAACGCAATTTTTTATACTTTATATAAATAAATAATAATTCGATTCAAAATACTAAACAAACGAACCCGCATATTAATATTTATTTTGAAGCTATTTTGGCATTTTGATGATTTTGGGAATAGTTTACTTGTTCTTAGTTTGGGTTTTCTTTTCAGTTTTAATAGTTGTTCGTAGGGATGTCAAATGGGGCGAGTTAGCCCCGGACCCGCCCCGAATCCGCTCTTAATGGGGCGGGTTCGGGACTAAATAATATGTTTCGGAGCGGGTTGTGAATTTAAAATTTTAAATCCGGCCGGATTCGAGGCGGGTTACAGGTTTTACTAAAAATCCGTCCCAACCCGAACCTGGATCCGAACCCGGATATTTTTTAAAATTATTATAACTAATATATATGTACATTTATATAATAAAAATATATTATTTATTTACTTAAATAATTTTAAATATAAAATTCAATTAGTGGCCTGCTCCAAATAATTTTTTAAAATTATTATACCTAATATATGTATATTTATATAATAAAAATATATTATTTATTTATTTATCTTATTTTTATGGATCAATATTTGCTTGTTTTTAGATTTTTTTTTTTTTTTTTTTTGCTTTTAATGCTATTTGTTTTAGTATTCGATTGTTAAAAAAATATTTATTATTATATATTTTTTAGAAAAAAGGGTTTGCCGGATTGGCCCCAGAGGATTCGGGGCGAGGCGGGTCCTGGGCCGGGTGGAAGCAGGGCGGAGCGGGTCTCGGAGCCTAAAATTTTCTAGCGGGGCAGGTCTCGGGGCCTGCAGAACCCATCCCAAACCCGCCCCGTTGACATCCCTAGTTGTTCAAGTGTAATTTTTATAAGAGAAACTACTATCAACTAAATGTATTTTTTTTTTTATATCCACATCATATATTGTTATTTATAGCAAAACAAAATCTTACACACTTATTAATTTTTGTATTTTAATTTTGTACTTATTTACAAATATACCACCATTATTTACATATTCAATATAATTATCTAACTTTTTTTTTCACTATATTAACTTACTCATATATTTCTTCTATCCAATTTAATTTCTTTGCTCTTTTCACATCCGTCCGTCCTAACTAAATTGTGTATTTCCTTCTTTTTGGATATATAACAATATCAGAATTTTGTTAAATGGTCTCAGAAAATTGCTTGAGAATCAATTATGAAACTGTAAAAAAATATATATATAATATATATTAAATCAACTAAATTAGTTTCGGATAGTAAGAATAGTCTCCGAATTTCCAAGGCCAAAATAAATAAATATTTTATTGTATTAAATGACTTCAGAATTTCTGAGGATATATTAAATATTATATTTTAATTAATTGAATAGTCTCGTAATTTTTGAAATTATATTAAATATATATTTTATTATATAAAATGGTCTCGAAATTTTCGATACTATATTAAATATAATATTTTATTATATTAAATGGTCTCGGAATTTCCGAGACTATATTACATATATATTATTATATAGAATAACTTCAGAAAATCCAAGACCATATAATAGCATATTAAAAATTTTATTTTAATTAATTAAATGTTTCAAAATTTTCGATGTCATATTAAATATATATTTTATTATATAATTTGGTCTCGTAATTTCCGAAACTATATTAAATATATATATTTTATTATATTAAATGGTTTCAAAATTTCTTATTATGAGACCATTTAATCAATATTAAATATTATATTTTAATTAATTTAATTAAATAATTTCAAAATTTTCGAGACTTTATTATATATTTTATTTTTTATTAAAAATTTGTTTCGAATTTTCCGAAGTTTTTATTATTATATATTATTTATATTTTAATTAATTACATAGTCTCGAATTTCCAAGGTTGTATTATTATTATTTTTTATTAAAAAAATGTGCAAAACTTTTTTTATTAATTGATTAAATAGTCTCTGAAATTTCAAGATTATATTATACTCCATCCGTCCCGCGGGCATACAAATTAAAAAAATATTATATTAGATAATTAATTAGTTTTAATTAATTGATATAATATATACAAAATGTTATTTTGATTATTCTTGGCCGAAAGTAATTTAAAAATATATATATATATATATGTAGTGTTTTTTAATAATATATTAAAATAAATATCTGAAAAAAAATTCTTCTTAATAGCAACAACTATTGTGCACAAATGCTAGCATTTGGTTGGCAAATACTTAGACTAGGTGTGAATATTTGTGATTGGTTAAATCTATATATATGCATAGTATGATGTCCTTCAATGAAATGAATTGTCCACATTTTACAACTCTCTTTCTCTTGCTTCATATCACTATTAATTACACTACTGCACATCATATTCATATCTAATATATATTCATATATACATAGTGTCTTATATGCATACATATATATAATAATATATACTTGCACCACACATACATATACATATATTATATATACTTACCTATATTATTATATTATTCAATATATAACACGTTATCAACACGAAGGCTCTTGTCCATTTTATATTTGGTAAGTTTTATTTTTATACTATCTATATTATTTATTTTATAAACTATGGAAAATCTTTCAAAATTTTCTTTTAAACCTCTGTCTCTCACCGGCAATAATTTTTTGACTTGGTCTTTGGATGTAGAAATGCATCTGATTTCTATGAGCCTTGTTCATACAATTGCCAGTGAAAATACGGCTACAAGTTAAGATCGGGCTAAGGCTATTATTTTCATCCGTCAC